AAAAAACTGAATGTCAATATCCAAACTACATCAAATTTTTGGTCGATTGCAATAAACATTCCAGTGTGCGTGGGCGCGCACACATATGTAGATAACACTTGTATGTATAGTTTCCGCGCGTACCATTCATAAAACCCGCAATGACAATCCACGCTCCGCCCACTCACTTCACCCGCGATGGTCTGACCTAATTGTTGTTAACGTTATTTAAATTTCTTTCTACCCGATATCGAAAATTATAAAAAAAAATTGTCGAGCAAAATTTTACATTACCAAATTTTTACTGGTTATGAAAACATAATCCCGTGATTGATAAAATGAAAAAAAAGTAGCCTGAGATTCGAACCGGTAAACTTACATGTTACGGCAAACATACTAGAATACTGCGCCAAACTTGTTTATATTGTAACAAGGCAAAATTTGATATTAGTTATTACGTATCTGTCATATTCGGCGTGACAAACTTTTATAATATATTTAAGCGTTATGACAGGAGAAGAAAAATATTGGGTTGCCCAGTAAGTTCGTGCCGCTTTATAAGGAAAATTGAAACCCTGTTCTCTTAAATTTTTGGAAATATTTTTAAATTATATTGGTACGACTCTATACCTAAAACGTCTTTTATTATTGGATAAAATTTTAAAAAATTAGTTTTTATCTCAACCAATGAAATGAAATTATTCACAATATAGAAATTTTCGTGACGTTTGATAATGGAGGAAATCCGAAAATGAATCCACTTCAGCTACAGTCTATTGTAAGCTTTATATCGAAAATCAGAACGAACTTTCCGGACAACCTATAATGTTAATACAAAGTGTCAAATGAATGTAACAGAAGTAGTTTATTCCAAATTGTATCACAAGTATATAGAGATAGAGTTCAATTTTGTCAAATGTACCGATATTTTTGCGCACCTTGACTGCTTCGTTACTTATGACGCTGTGGCTGCTACGATATTTATGAGCATCTTGCATGTACTCATATATTTGACGCTGTGTATGTACCGATGTTTTTGAGCAGGGTGAATGTATCTATTATTTTGAGGACTTTTGTTGTACCGATATAATTGAATACTTTTGGTGTACCTATATATTTGCATATCTTGTCTGTGACGATCTATATGACGCTGACTGTACTGTTACATTTTCTTACTTCTAACGTTCTAATCGCGAACCTTCAATAAGGTAAGTAAACAAAATAATTAGTAAAGAAATAATTTTATTTGTAATTTTATAAGTACAAATCGACATTGTATTGTTTGAAATAAATTCGTCGTAAGTCCAATTGTTATCGTATAATAGTCCAATAATAAGAGAATAAAAAATAACAATGAAATAAACCTAAGTTACAAGATGTAATAATACTTTTCTATTTTAAGATCCACAAGCTCTTGGGATGTTCTTGGCATTTTGTTCGATTCCTGGACAAGCTAAAAAAATAACTGTAATTAGTCTAAGAAGAGTGTGGTTTTATAGACAATAATCGATAATGGATAATACAGTCTACAGCTGTATCAGGATAAGTAAGAAATATTTATAATTAAGATTTATTGCCATCAGGTGGTATCGTGGTCAAGCGCTAGCTTATTCAATTAAAAAAAAACTTGTAAGAAAGAAACCTCTATAAGCGGAACAAAATGTCACGGTTCCATGGATTCTTACTTATCTAGGTTCGACTGTATTTTAATAAGATAAGGTACCTTTTTCACAATGATCTCCATAGTATTTTGTGCCATCACAATTGCAGACATAACCCCCTTCCGTTGGGATGCAAACGCCGTGTACGCATGACTTATAACAGACGCGTGTTTTGTTTACTAAATAAAATTAAATATATTAATAAAATCAAAAGTATGAGATTTTTAAATGAATTTGTAAATTTGAAGGCAGTTTATTAAAGCAAAGATATAGACGGATGAATATCCAAGGGCTTATTCCATCTCCAAAGTCTAGAAGATTAGTTACGAAAAACTTAAAGCCATGCGATTTATCGTCTTTGAAAAATAGTCCTTCAGGCCTTAATACTATATAAAATGTTACTTACTATTCGTCTCTTATAATTATAATACATAGTGCAAGTAAAATACATGACTGCAGAAAGATGCCACACTGCTAATCAAACGCATTTGTAACGTGCATGGAAATAAAGAATGTTCATATAGCAAAAGACAGAAAAATAGAGTAAAAGTCACACAAGGCTCATGACAAATACTGTTTTCTGACATACATCGTAAAGCGCCAAGACAGATTCTTCTAGTCCTGTACTTGAATTCATTTTTACAACCGAATCTACAACTGCATACAGAATCTTTAATTTGGCAACCGTAATGTATATGCTTTAGCGAACATCCTGTAAATGAAATTAAATGGTTGTATTACCTTAGTTTCACTGTTAACTTTATTCATCTTGTTGCTTTATTTTAATGTTGAAATAATATAACTAAATAACTAGGATTTCCTTAAGACAATATTGTTATGTAGAAAGAACGTCCGCGTCGACAAACAAATAAGATACATATATTATATATCATAAATATTTCGATATAATCAAAAACTCTTTGTTAAGTACAATGATTTATTTCTTTTTGTAGGTACAAGTCTTTACAAATCTCTGAATAGATAGACAATGGTGTTCAACATATTTGATTTTCTTCCGTATTATCTATAGGATGTTTAAAAATTAGCTGGACTGTCAAAGAGGCCTATAGTTTTAAGGAAATAAATTAGTTTATTTTTAAACATTGGAACAGTTCAAATAACTACACACTCGTGTGGGAACACAAGGCCTCTTACTGGAATTGTTGGACATGCTGAAACAATCAATAAAAAAATTAATAGAATCAATATACACTTATATAATTTAATTTGATAATTAAAATAAAGCATTCTAATATACTTACAATAATATTAAAAAGCATTCTTAAAATATAATATTAACTATATAATTTAATATTATATGCTACTCAATGTTACTTTAAAAATAGATATTATTATTAGCTTAAAACCGCGATATATTTGTATTATCCACTACGCACTTTGAGGGGGTCGGTGCCTACACTAAGTTAGGGGTGACTACGCCATAGTCAACTACGCTGGCCCACTGCGGGTTGGTTGACTTCACACATATCTTTGAATTTCTTCTCAGATATGTGCATGTTGTAGCAAGATATTCTCCTTACCGTTAGAACGTTGATAATATAAATGATTGTTATTAATTATAATAAAAACATGTGTTATGAAACCAGTTTGCAGGGTTGTCCAAAGTTATATTGTGGAAATGTTTACTAAGCTTTAATGTGAGACCGGAAGAGGTCTATCTAAAATGATTAGGACAATACGTGAACGGTAATAAAATATAACGCGATGTATATATTTTTTAATATATTATAGTTTGGTTTAGTGGTAATGTAGCAATATATATTTTAATGGCATGTATTGTTAGTGAATTTGGGTAAATGAGTACCTTTTTCACAGCGTTGACCATAGTAACCGGTGCCTTCACATTTGCAAGCGAAACCTGGATCTTGTACCGTTTGAATGCAGATTCCACGGACGCAGGGTTGTCGATAACATATATTAGTACTCCGTTCTGAAATAAATATTAAGATGGTAAATTTAAAAAATGAAAAAAAAAATAATGAAGAAATCTTGCAGAGTTGATTCGTTAGCTTATTAAGCAATTTTATAAACATTGTAAGCAAAGTATTAAACCAAAAAGTATATAAAAACATGCGATAAATGTAAAAGGTGGCGGTGCCGTTTAAAGTTTGTACCAACCTTGTAAAATATATATTAATATTTTTAGAGCACTTTGTTTTTATTTCTGTTGTATTAAAAGTTAATTTAAATAAATAATTGTATTCTACAAAGTGTTAGAACACGTATTTTTCGTAGTTCGATACATCACGTGCTTTACGAGCTTTACCTTTGTTTCTTACGATTGTCGCTAGATGTCGCTATTTACCAGAATGGAAGATGGGTTCTAAAATGTTTATTACCTCTTAATGCGCTCAAACAGGCTCTTCTAGTTCTGTATACGTACTCAGTTTTACATCCGAAACCGCAAAGGCACTCCGAACCGTATATCTTGCAACCATTTTGAGTCTGATTCGGTTCGCAAGTCTCTACGTACCCTGAAAAAAAACATATTTAATGATACGGACTTTATACTTACAAAATATATAGCCAAAAGAATTACTTGAGTGTAATTGGGGAATATTTTAACAAAACATATTTTGAATCAACCCTCAGTGGTCTTCAGGGTAAAATAATAAAAATAAATCAGTAACTAACAAACTTTTTACTCAAGTTAAACGAAAGTTGAAATATATTTAAAAAATCTTAATTTAAATGGAATTTAATAAAACGTAATAATCATTTATTTAATTATAAAGTCCTCTATTTTATTTCAATAGTTGTGTAATGACTAAATAGTACAAAGAGTATAAAACATTGCTGTAATAGCATTGATAACGTTTGCATTTGGATGTTTTTATCAATGAATACGTCCGCTCTTAATAAAGCGTCACACTGACATGTTTCTCAGAGTATATATTATATGTCGCCCATGATTCCATACGCACAGAATTAAAAAAAAATAGTAGCCTGTGTTCTTCTAGACTATGTCCTACATACATGCCAAATTTAATCGAGTTACATAAAGCCGTTCTGCACCTTCTAACATTCATGTATCCAAACTTTTTTTATATTTCGTAAGGTGGCAAACGAGCGAGCGGCCACCTGAAATCGCTGATATAGCGAAGTGACCGATGCCCATAGACACACGCAATTGCATATGCGTTGCCTACCTTTAATCGACGGAGGAGAGAATGCACAGAAAGAAAATATTTTTCCTTTCCATGCATCCTCTCATCCGGAAAGTCCACTTCCACTTCCCATCCTTTCCTTATAAGAAAAAGGGGAAGAGGAAGGGGACTAAGTAAGGCCTCCGGGACGCACACTCATCAGACGAAACGCGGAATTGCTTCCACTTCACGCCTGTCTTCTGTGTGGTCGTGGTATTTCACCGGGCGAGCAAGGCGAAGATGTTAAAGCGTGCTCTATCACTGTCAGATCCAAACATTCACGTGTATATTAGTAAGAAGTACGAGAAGTCAAAACATTGTACCCACTATAAGGCAATTGTAGAACGGACAAACTTAGAAATTGACAGAGGAAAACTCTTTGTACACAAGGCAACGTAAATCTTTGATCTTAGTAGTAAATCGACTTACGCAATACAATTTACCGAGGTGCACAGCGCGCGTTGCCGATATTTCTATCTGTCATCGCTAAAGCCAGTCGCTCGCAACCTCTTTGTCAAGATCTTCGTAAGAAAAGTTGCTGCGATGTTCAAAATGGCAAAGTAAATCTATACAGTTGACACGGAATAATCGGTTCATTGGTAAAATGCGTTTTAAAATTGAATACAAAACGTTGCGACGTACTTTCGGTCAAGGAGTTGTAAATATTTACAAAAGATTAAGCTCAAGGTTGTGTTGAATGGAGACGTAATTGAATCAATTGGAAGGGTTGGCTCAATCATATAATTTAGAGCAATTTAAAGGAGACGCCGAAGGCATCTTCAGTGCATTTTCGATGCGTTTGTATTACCTTTTACGTTCAATCGTCTGTACTTTTGTCTAATAGTTTGAAAAAAAATTGACGTAGAAGACGTTGCAGGTTGTAACTTCGATTTCAGTTATAAGTTGGATGCATTTTATTATCTGTGATGGAAATTTAAAATTGTGATTTAACATAATCACAATTTATTTTAGTAATTTGTACAAACTTTGTTCTGATATTTAAAAACATTTATAATGTTATTTTAATGAATTTAACACATACGATAATTAAAATAAAAGAACGGAATGCTTAAATTTGAGAAAAAAACAATTAAAGCAAAATTAAAACAGTTCACATGTTGTTAAACTTACTTTTACGTTACAAACGAAAAATGTGATAATTTTTCTGTTGCTTTATCACTACTTCTTTGTTATAGTCAAAACAAAAATATTTACGATAAATTTTACGTAAACAGGGAAGTTTATGTTATTTTATCTAATTACTAACTATCGCCCACGACTTTATCCGTACGGAATAAAAAAAATAGTAGCCTACTTGTTCTTCCAGACCATGTTATACATCTATGCCAAATTTCATCGAGATCTATTGAGCTGTCCTGGTGATAGCTCCAAACAAACATCCATACAAACATTCACATATATACTAGTAAGACTGTGCAAAAGTTTGTAGAAACAGGAGCAACTAACGAGGAGCAAGGGCAACGATAACTACATGTTTACATTCATGTTACATAAATCATCGTGTAATATGCTTTTCCTTTCAACGTAAGCTAATTAATTTACGATATAAAGTAAACATTATTATTACATCGTTTACTTTTTTTAATATGTTCCATTGTAATATATAATAGTTTTACCTAACCATTAACTATATACAGAAAAGATTTCAATGTTTGTTTGTTTGCATTGAATAGGCAACGCAACTTCTGAACCGATTCGAAAAATTCTGTCAACGTTGGGGAACCATCCCCTGGTAAGGCTACGTTTATTTTTTAATTCCTCGAGCAACTGCTAATGTATGTCACAATTATTCGAAATATCGAATTCTTTTAAAAACATTAAAAGATAATTGTGTACAAAAAAAATGACATAGTCCTTCTTATAAGTTCAATTATGGAATCATTTTATCAACAATTACCTTATGAAAAATTTCTAAAAACTTCGCTTGCACTTTCATTGGGCTTTCATGTGTATGTACGGAACATAATTATAATATAACTATTAATATATAAAGCACGTTATATAGTCAACGCAAATCATAATTTACATAGTTGACGTTTATGTCAAATGTAATAAATCTATTGAGGTCAATAATCTGAAGCGTGTTGTTACAGACCTATATAACTTTAGAACTATTAAAATTATATATGTTACGTAAGTCTATATATACATATAAATATATATTGAAAAAAATATATCGTATCCAAAACAATTGTATGGTTTCAAAGTTATATTGAGGTCAAACAATCAGACGGATCTTGTTTGAGATAGGCGTGAATGTTTGCAGGCAGGAATATTAAATTAAATTAATTTGTAACTATTATTTATTGTATGTGAATTAGTCTAACGAGTTCAAAATTACATATTGAGGTCAATAAATCCGACGCATCTTGTTGCAGAAGTAACTTAAGTACAATTTAAAAATAAACAATTTAAAATATGTATTAGAAATCCATGAATGTCGCTGATATAATTCGCTATTTAGCGGCAGTGCATTACGCAAGTATACTTACAGAATAGAGATGCGATGATCACTAAGATGTAGCCGGCGAGACGCATTGTCGCTCCGCTGTTCTGACCGCGACTATATTCCACACTGATACCGCATTTCCTCCGAAAGTGTGAACGCCCGCCGTATCAAGCCGTATCTATAACAGCGTTTAAACTACGACCTCTAGATTTGAGTGCGTTCTTTGTATTTTTTTTAAATATAACAAATGGAATATTGCATTATGGTGTTACTCATTATACAAAATTTGCTTCCTTCTCTTTCGAATTCGTTGAGTTACATATTTATTTAATTGTCGTACCTAATGCTTTTTTTGGATGTCGTTTTTCTGTCGTTCGTTTTGATTCCTAGAAATATGGTAACATTTTTTAATGTGTGGTATTTCTCAAAATTAAAATTAATTTCAACGTCTATGTAAGTCGTGTGTGTTTTTTTTGTGGTTTTCATCGATTTATTTATCACTCGAGTATCGATGCAAAAATATGACTGCAGCAATGCATCACTACGTCGTTTAGTTAAAATTAGGCAACAAGGAGGTGAGCGGATGCGAGCGGGAGTAGCCTCGACGCGCCCGAGTGGCATAATTTGCGTATTAATCGCGAAACTGTAACGCGTTTGTTGCCTGCACTTATGCTAGCTATATAGGCTTATGCTGTAAAATTAGATTGAAACCACAGTAAAAAATAGAAAAAAAAATGCAAACGTATCGAAAGTACAACGTAGAGTTTGCTCCACGTTAGCTTAGATGACGTGCTGTATTCCTGGCTACCAAATGCTTCCAAAAATATATCCAAATGCTGGAATCTAATATGCTGGATCCCAAATTGGATACGCTTCGATTTCAGTACGCTTTCGCAGCAGTGTACACATATGGGGCGTCAATTATTGCGACTATTTGCATGTGGGAATTATCTAGAAACAATGGTTATGTTGTTTAAATCAAATGTTTAGCAGTCCTATTTATTTTGCATACATGTATATACTAGCTGTTGCCTGCGACTATGTCCATACGGAATTTAAAAAACACTTAACTATTAGCCTATGTTTTTTTTCCAGGCTATGTTCCACATCTGTGCCAAATTCCAAGATCATGCAGCCGGTCTGGAGACACCTTCAAACAAACATCCATCCATCCATTTAAACATTCGCATTTATGAGTAGGATTAGTAAGATCTGCATAATAACTGGCACGTGGTTTTCTTTTCGTGTCTCTGATTTAATTACTTAAGTAATAGCCGGTAATAGGTTAATACCTTTTGTTAATAATAGAGTGTACTGACTCTTACTTGTTTATTTTGCGACTTTACCGCGTCTGTATTCCTACAGAAGGCTGCCGCTGGCGATCTGCCTAAGGTTGAAATTTTTATGCTCTGTTTGATTTTCAAAGCGCTCTTGATATTTCCATGAAAAATATTAATTACATTGTAATACTGCTTACTGGAAAATTTCCTTTCTCATTTTACGAGAACAACATCTCTTTCAATTTTCAAGGAGTTCGTTTTATATTTAAACGTGAATAAATTCTTTGTCTACCTAATTAACCTCGTAATTGTTGGATATAAGTATTAAAAGTTAGCCTTTAAATATAAAAAATTGTGTCAAATCTTTTGTCGCACGTTGCAGTTAGGCATTAGCTGAAATTATTATTATTGAAATATGACCTTCACAAAGAAATAACAAAATACTAATACCACAAACAGTATTGGGGATATATTTTTAATGGATGAAACACTTGTAATATAATGTAATAAACGTTGATGTCCATAATCATCCGGCGTTTAAAAGGTTAAAATACGTGTTTAAACTAAACCTTCATTACATTACTAGTATTTTTAGGAGTAATACAGTTAATAGCACGTTGGTTTCGCACGCATACACGAGATTTATATCAATACATTTTATGGTGTCGATACTGAATTGTTTAAACAATTGAATAAAAATAAACGATTTAGTCATCTCTACAAAGGGCAATGACCCTAATGTTTTGAACACAGTATGCCAACGTATTGCGACAAAAATATTAGTAGTTGCGTTGTCGATAACAAAATATAAAATGATGCGCGAGAAAAAAATCACACGCATAGTCAGTAAATGTAAGTTAGTTTTTTATTCCAATTAAATCTTTCATATGTTAACTATCGTTTTCTTATGCTGTTAACAAAACGTTGCCATCGCCAAATGCCAAATGGCGCTGCTCGTTTGCCCCCTTCTGTTATAAAAAAAATATTATTTTATTAGTGAAATAAATAAATAGATACTCTTTTCTTGTTTATATCATTACGGCAGGCTCTTCTTATTTGAAGGAAATAATTTATTCAAAGATTCAGCTGTGAAGAAAATGAACAATTATTTATTTACTATTTAAAAAAAAATATAAACAATTATTGAATTTTCTACAAGAATACAATCAACTTGTTTCACAAATGAATGTAGTATTATTGTTTCGTCTCTTCAATTACTCGTATTTCTCGTTGCTAAATGTTTCGTCTATCATCTTTGATAATTTAACAACAACATTCTGTTGCACTGTTTGTTAGAAACTATAAACAAAGTTGCAATTAGAATAGCGCAGTGTTTATTTACAAAAGATCAAATTCTGTTCTCAAATTTCGAATTTTGCTTTCTTGATAAACAAGAGCCAAGAACCTTTCACGTTTATTAAGCATAAACAGAACCAGTCTTGAATAACATGCCGCCGGTTTACAATTAATTAAATGAAAAGTGGATTTCAGCTGTACAGCTGGTGATATAGATAAGATTGTACGAAGTAGAGAAAAAATAGATCATCAATTATCAAACATAACATAATAAAAATACGAACCACTCATAAAACTTTGTTTTTAAATCCGAATTTTATATAAAGTTCTCATGTCGCAATTAGTTACCATACCTCCTCCGAAACGGCTTGAGCGATTTTTTAAATTTATATGCATATTTAGTAGGTCTGAGTATCGGTTACTATCTATTTTTTTAATCCTGCGCAGGCGGAATCGCGAGCCACAGTTAGTTAGTCTTATGATACCTGTAGTAGCAACTCATATTTTCAATTCAATGTTCATTGAATTGAAAATGTGACTTATATAGCCATATGAACTTTATAATAATTTGATTGAAATAGACATATAGACAGTTGAATTTGCGATAACCTTAACACTTAGATAATGTAGTCATTATTACAAATGCTTACATGATTGCAACAGACTGAAACAGTGGAATGGGAATAATGATTATTTTGTTACGAAATTGTATTGAGTTAAATCGCCAATTAACGACTACGGTATAAATATTTGTGTGTCCACTCCTTTGTAGTCCTATATTTTCTTTATAGTAGCCACCTTGTGACTTCCATGTCTATAATGGCTTATAGGTTTTCAAAAGCGAGGTGTTGCATTTGAAAATATTGAGACGAAAAAAAAAACAAATAAATAGACAGAACTATAAAGTAGTTGAGTCTATTTCCTATTCAGTGAATTATCGCTAATTTAGAAACGTTTTTGTAGTGAAAAAAGGTCTTTTTCAAACTTACCGATTTCAGTCAACCTTTGCTATTACATTTTTTATTTAACTTGTGAAAACTCAACATTATTTTCCCGCTACATCAAGCTCCCGCTAGGTCTAGTGTGGTTCCCATCTACATGGGAACCACACCTTCGGGCGTCATAGCTTTAAACAGTATGCATTTACAAAAATCTTTTCTTAGTACTCATTTTTGTAGTAAGTGTTGTAGATTAAAACCTATTTCGAACACTGGCCGTAAATAAATATTGTAAGATTATATACATGTTAGAAAGAAGTGACGTTTAGTTTAGGAGAAAGGTAAGAACCCGTGTCTTCAATAAAGGACATGGAATGTGAGAAATAATAGTTTTATTGGCAAGATCCCTCACAGTAAGCGAAATATATGTGAAAAATAACAAAGTTCCAGTAATTTCAGCTCAGTGTCGATAGTAATCAGCCAGACAAAAAAGAACGTGTGAACGTATCCTAATAATAAACTATAATGTGAAATTCATTGAATACCAAGTTTGTAAGCCGTCTGAGATGTATCGAGGAATTCAAAGTGAAAATATTTCTATGAATTTCCTTGAAAATTGTGTTATAAAATCATGAATCAATAAGTCGTCTGAACATCATATGATCGTCTTCCAAGCTACACATGTCTGGGAGTTCAGTTTTCTTTTGTTATTTTACTATATATTCATACAGTAAACATAATGATGTGAACTCGTTTATCAAGTATCGTATTTAGATTTTATGTTCAGAGAGATAAATTAACCATTAAAAGTCAATCGGTTCGGTTCCGAAATTTACAACACGTTTTTGTTCCGGTTCTCCGGCAGTAATAAAAGTAACAAGAAAATGTTGAAATGTTTTATTAAAAAATACGACAAAATGAATACCAATAATTGCATATCACATGACAATTAGACAAAGAGATTCTTCGCATAAATATTAATAAAAAAATAATATTTAACATCATTAAATTATCATTTCATATAATTTTTATTAAAACCTGTATTCATAATATATTTCAAAAATATAATTGCAAATCAACTTCAATCATAGGTTAAATTGAAATAATACATTTGGTAATAAATATTCCTAGTTCATTGGGCTTTGTAATTATAATTCTCTTTGTTATAATAAACTGGAATTTAATGTAAATTTTTGCACGTCCGGTAAATTATAATAAAATTAATTAGCCTATATTTTGAGGTTCAATCTTATTGCTAGATATTTCGTAAATAATATTTGGAATTGAAATTACATTAAACAGTTGAATATGAACATAAATTCCAATATTTGATATTTTATTTAATCCATACTATTCATATTACATTAGTTGAGATGTCGTGTATATATTAACAAAGGGTGCATTTGGACCTTCTTGTAACCAATTATCTGGAGAGTATGTGTTCTGGTGCTTTTCTATTGCATGGAAGGTGTACGCGTGACGACTCTTGTCCGATTTATTTTGAGCACTTTTGTGTACAACGTTACCATGTAACAAGATGCAAGTACCTGTAAAAAATATTTTTTCTATCAAACTAAAATTACAAGGGTTCTGGTTTCATTTCAAAGGAAAGGGTAAATTGTGTGTTGTATCACATACTACAAAATTATGTGTTTTATCACATAGTATGCACATAATTGTTTGTTCTATCACATATTATATATCACATGATAAGTGATAACAATAGTACAATTTTACAACCGTGCGTAAATTAAATGCACTAACCTTTTGGAACAGGTACAGCTGTGAAACTTGATTGTGGATACACTGGTGCTGGTCTGTCATAGATTAAAGCTTGTTTGGAATCCTTATCCGGGTTACGGATGAGACGTCGGTGTATACCGGATTTATGTGAACCAGGAGAAATCCATAAGCAGCCATTCTGTACGGTCACATCTTGAAGTGCAATCCAGAAACCGACTGGTGGAATCGGTTCCGTGTGAAGATACGTTATGTCTTGGTGTGGTATCACTGGAAAGGAGAAGAGAACTTTTAACAAGATTTTTGTGTAGATTTTTTATAATAACATAGACCCAGATGAATATACTGTAAAGTGTTACACGAATTTTATTATTGTATTATAACATTTAAGAATCTTATTTTAATATATTACCTTCACCGCCAATGCCTGGGTTCTTATAAATATACATGCTCTGCACCACGGCAGGGTCTACCAAACCAAGCTCCCTGCAAACTCTCTTTACACGTTCACTGTACGTGTAACATCTGAATATCGGGTGCTGAAGATGCAGTGCGTGTCCAACCTGAAAATTTTCTCAAATTAACTATTTTATTTATTCCCCCAAATTTCAACTGCCAAAACATCCATTCATATTGATTATACTGATTTATTTAGAGATGACGTAGTTTGTTTTCCATAGTGGGATTTTTTTATTCTATGTCAAATCTATCTATATCGGAAAAATACCCATTAGGTCGATTGGTCCAACGGGAAATACCCAGAATGAGAGATTATAGACATTTGAGACATTTGACTGGGACAGACAATTAAGGCTTATTGTAGGAATAAAAAAACAAATTAGCATTTATGTTTCCCGTAGAATTATTACTTCAAATATAATTAATTAATTGTCTGAGCTAGAAGCGTAGTATTGTGACGTGTTTGTATAATTAATTTGTGTCTAGCTGTGATGTGCAGAATCTTCAGAAGTGAGGATTTTAATACAATGTTTGTTTAACATTATGATGCTACATTGTTTTATTTATATGCACCCTTGATGATAATAAATGTTTTCTTTAATTATAAAGGTGCATGAATTTGTAATATAAAGTAAATCTGCTACATACTGGAGGCGGTTTTACGCAGCAGACGCAAACTAATTAAGTTGAAACTTTTTAAAGTTTCCGTTCCGCTTTTCAGTTTGAGCATGGGCGTAAGTTGAAGTTGGCTCGTGTTTTACGGGAGTAACTATTTACTGTGAACTAACATTATAAGGTTTCTCACCTTGTTTAGTGAAATGCTGGGGTCCACTTTCAGTTTGCCGTCCGAGTCTACGGCGTCTGCTTCGAAAAAATAACTGATATTGTCATTGCTTTCCATAAAGTAAGCATCTTTGTGTTGCTGTAACAATAAAGAGATAAATTAATTGAAAATGAAAATAGCACAAAATTTTGTATAATAATTTCATTAAAATTTAATTCTGCTACGGTTACTATTGTTCATTCAATTAATAAATGTGCATGCCATCCAACCGCAGTGGACCAACCTGCGAAGACATCCACATCGCAGCTAACCACAAACCAGTATGATATTAAATTTTTTTAATAAAAATAATAAATACCGCTATCTCTGGATCGACTGTGGAGAATACTGGTTTCGGGTCCATTTCAGCTGCTTGCTTTGTTAACTCGAGTCCAGCTTCGACCAATTCATCGCACTCAGGACCACGAAGAAAATCCTCCAACACCACGTACCCATCTTGCTCGTACTAGAAAACCAATGATAAATCATTATCAGTACAACATAATTAAGAAATGACGCATAACATGAGTTTGTACGTATTAAATCAGTTAGCATGTTTTGAGGAAATATTGCACATGACAAGGATATTTTAAATATAGGTAAATATGCAGAAGGCTAAGAAGAAAAGGACAGATTGCAAGAAAGGTGACATGATTGAGAATGGGGTGCGACAAAAAGAAAGACATAATTCTGAAGCAGAAGTACAGAGATGATGAATGAAGTCTTTTCTGGATCATAGAAGAGTAACATCGGGCTTTACCAACTTTGTAGAAAGCTAATAATTACATACAATGATGTTGCTGTCATGCTTTAATAAATACACACACGATTTCATTACTAATTCATTTTTATCCTCAATCCACTACTGTGAAAGCTAAGAATGTTCACTTCGTCTTTTTCTAATCACATTTACAATACATAAGGCCATTGCTTATTAATCAGTTTCATAATAATTGATCGATAGTGTAGTCGCTTCAGTGAAAAGAAACTTTTTTAATATAGTGGACACATATGTTTAATATTATTGCATTTTCTGATATTGTTTCATCATACGCATGATATAATTTTGATATCATTACGCTACAGTGAAGTTACAATTTTTGATAAAATAAATATTATTCATCAGTTACTACGCTCGATATTCGACGACTAATAAAAAAGCATGAAAAGCAAAGCGAAAATATGGTAAAAGGACGACCCATTTCGACCAAAATCCGGCTAAAAATCCATTATGAAGTTACATTATTATGGTCGTAGTATTCGTGCATATTAACATCACCAATTAATCTATGCTACATGAAGACTATTAAAGACAGACTAGTTTTGTAATCACAACTTTGTAATAATTTTATTGTAAATAATTTTATACGTAGTTATTTCCTTTGGTAACAGAAACCTTGACATTGATAAAGCGCGGTCAAGCAGGCGAAAGGTTAAGCCAAATTGGCCCCGCAAATTATTAGCGTATTCAATAGAGCGAGAATATTCGGGTGTTGATTAACACCTTTACTAGTTACATTGCCGAACTCATATGAAACAATGTTAAATCAGTTTTAACTTTACGTTACGTCTTAATTTTGAGTACAAGTACGACCGAAAACTAAATATTTTGTAGTTGTCATATTTAGAAAAAAAATTGTTTTTAAGTTTACGTATTACATTGAATATACGGAATAGTAAAATTGTTTTATGGCGTTTATTGGTAGCGTGGCGATGGTGTTTTTATCTGTGTTTACACCGCGCCGGTCCCACGTGGTGTGGCTATTTGCATTCACAAATGATCTTGTATTTTTAAGAGCTCAACGTTAGGCGACGCGGTGGGCACCAAGCATAGAAAATGTTTAAATATTTTTATTCTTAAACGAAGAAATTGTTTTGACGCAACAATGTATTTTATTTCATAAGTACCGATACGTTTGTTTTTAGAAAAAATTCTATAAATATCTTATCGAATTATAGAGGTTTGAGTGTGCTTCGTACACTTTTTTAAAGGGATGCTTTATTAAATATTTATATCTATTTTGATTAGGATTCAAAAACTTAATATTTTGTAAACCATTTATATTATATGGAAACAATATATAAATTAATTAACAAAAGGTGTAGGCTATCGCAATTTAATAGCAAGCAGTTCTGATGCAAATAAAATATCGTTTTTGTCGTCAATATGAATTCGATTACTCAATGTAATTGTATATCTCATTATAACGTACTATTATGAACAATTTAATGTATTAGCAAAATAAATATAAGCGATAAACCCATTCCACATTTTCGTTGATGTTATAAAAAGGCATATTACACGCAAGCAATACTTAAGTTCTGTGTGGCAGCCTGTACAATTTCTAATTGTACTTCCACAATAAATTATCTAGCAGTTCAAGTTTGTGTTTCAAAAAAGGTCAACGGAACACTATCCTAACAATACATTTGTATGTCACCATATACGAACGGCTCTAAAGCATTTTAAAGACCAAACCATAAATGGACATGTTTATATCCGCGTTACATAGACGTATAAGTAACACGATTGATCCGTGACAGTGGGTTTGCACATTCAGTTAAAAACATGAAATTTAATATCTGTCTCTCTCATTTTCTCTGAATTAACTGAGACAGTAGATATATTTTTGCCCAGATTACAAATTGAGATATTTTTTTAACAGGAACGGTGAATGTATTTATGATGCAATCTCCACATTCGACTTACACGTCATGTTCGAAAACTCTGGAAGCTTTGTGAATCAGGATTCCAGGAACAACTTCAATTCATACTGTTTTCTTGAACACTAGCAGATGCCCGAGACTTCGTCCGCGCGGAATATAAAAAATCTAGTAATAAATATAGCCCATGTCACCCGGGGATAGTGTAGCTTCCCAACAGTGAAAGATTAAGTAATGAAGAGATTTTACAAATCGGTTCATTTCTTTAGGATCCTATTCAATGCTAACAAACAATTAAATCTTTTCTCTTTATAATATTCATGTAGTCGTAAATGTATCGTTTTTTGATACATTCTTAAATGAATTATTAATTCAAATAAAGCATACGGAAGGAAGTAAATTCGTTCATGTCAGAAATATTGTTACAAATTTCATAGCAATTTTTCGATGCAACACATGTTTAGGAAATGCTTATTATTAGATCTGGACTCACACGACTCAGCGGCACCTCGTCATGAATCGCTTTGGCCAGGTTTTGAGATATTTACTTATAAATAAAACGAAATATCCACCTTTATCTATTATTAGACGTTACCGTCTCTGATAAACCTATAGATAATTTGCATTTCGATTATTTCTTCGGAGTACTTATTGTATCAATTTCTTTGTTTGTTTCAATTTATTTATCTTTTTTCTTTTATTTATTTAATGTTGATACTATCGGCTAATAAAAATAAATTAAAGGAGGTACTATATATAGATATTAGTAGGGGAATTTTTTTATAATTTAGAAGTTTTGTCTGTGTCAGTATAAGGTAGAATATTTGTGATATTGATCAAACTAATTCTACTACATTTATAAAACTGACTTTAAATGGTAGGAGATTTAAGATTCATATGTATTTTGCTGTCACTTAAGGCATTTATTTCAATAACACTTATTATCCAGCCGTTAGAGTATTTCAGAATAAAGCCGTACTTCTAAAAAGTTCGTACTGAAGGAGAACTTTGCTTGCAAGTTCTGCTGATTGTGTTATTTGAGTAGCTTCAGCTATTACAAGGCAAGATTTCTAAAGCAGAGGTAAAACTTTTTATTAAAACTGCAAAAGTGCATCGATGATATTTTAATAGAGTTTAAGGAGCGGGGTAGCATTTTTATTTAAATTTCAAATGTTAGAAACACTTGGTAAAATCTGGAAATTAAATCTGATATGTTACGAATGCGATAGATAGATGTCTGTTTGAATTTATCTCCTGAACGACTGAACGAATCTAGATGAAATTTGGTATACATATAGATCATAGTGTGGAAGAAAACAAAGGCTACTAATTTTGTTTGTTTTTAATTCCGCTCGGACGGAGTCTCGGGCGAAAGCTAGTGTTTCATAAAACAAAGTATAAATTAATGAGTTTCGCTGTCACCGATTGAAGTACGTTAGTTGGACTAGTTTACACCTTGTCCTAACTCCCACGCTCTCGGCTTGCTCGCAATTTGCCCAATCTCTCATCAATCTACACCGACAATTCCCGCTTGTCTCTTTATAGAGAACTAGCTGTCGCCCGCGACTCCTTTCGAGCGGTAGATAAAACAAACTTAATAAAGGGTTTTATGTGTTTTTCCAAACTATGTTTTACATCTATGCCAAATTTCAGCGAGATCCATGCAGGCGTTCCGGAGATACCTTCAAACAAACATCCATCTAAACATTCGCATTTATAATATTTATAATTTTATGATTAACCTATATTCTGCACTTTGCTTGCATTTAGCAACAATATCGCCAAGTATCGGTTGCAATATTATTTACACTTAGCAGTTTAAAAACATCATCTAACGTCGCCAAGATAAGTCTTTTATTAGGTGACAACCTGTTGTAATGTGACATAAGAGCCTTGTCCATCTTATTTTTGAATTATCACCACAATTATAAAAGAGTCGAACGCCCTCATCGAAACGGTAATTATTATTTCAAAGATAACATATTTTTGCACAGATGTTTCGGCAATGAAAACAGACTGTTAGCTTTAATTAATTCAAAGACGTAGTGCCGTTTTCGGGTTCGCTTCTCGAAACGGGTGGAAACTTGCTAAAATCTTAATTAGCTGTCTTGAATATCAAACCGTATGCTTGCAAAGTTTATAGTCCCCTAAAGGAATATAAGTAATTTATGTTTTAGATTGAACTCATATTTAAAGTATACTTTCTATTTATAACTTTTGAGCTCTAATTTGATATTTATCCAATAACTTACTTTCTTCCCACTTAACACGTTAAACGACATAGTAGAAATAGAAAAAAAACACTGAAAAACTTTTTGCTGGGAATACATGCGTAATATCGAATCTTCAAAATATATCTAATAGTTTAGGGTTCAATTAGAATCTGGGTTCCGCAGATATTGTAAAATTACTTAATGAGGTCACAGGTGCCCTGCGCGGCGTTTAAATGCAGGCAGATATCCGGTCACTGATGACCGGAGTGGCGTTTAAAGTGTTAACTTAAAAAGTTTTAATTTGTTGATTAAAATAATGGTAATTACATAATTAACAAGTTTAGCATACCAATGCAGTAGCCGTTTTATTACTTATTGTTTTTATTAAAAGATCCCATCTTGAAAAAGTTAAACAAGTGATAAACAAAGCCGAGATATAAGCAGCTAGTGGCAGATAGTATTGACATAATTGACGTTATCGATACGAAGGCGCTTGTCGCAAATATTCGTGCTAGGCCCTCTGCTTTTGTATGAGGATAAATACGCGCACAGATGTTTGGTATGCATAGATTATTGTTTGATGAACAGATATTAATTTGAGCTGGTAATTTGAATCTTGTATTATGGGACATAAGTATGAATTTAGAAAGTAACACAAGTTTATGGTACCACAATGACTGACCTTTTTGTTTTTAGGGACAGAAGTCATAAAAGCAGTTTGCTTACATTATATCAGATTAATTGAAATGAAGCATACTTAAAATTGTTTTATTCTAAACAAAAATACTTAATATAAATTTGGGTTTCCTCAGAACATCCTACATTAGTTTCATCATAATCCTATCACTAGTTTAGAATTGCCTACAGGACAAAGATACATTTTTATTTATATACATTTCCAACTCATTACAGACACATGTACCCACGTCGAAATGACGTGGCGCTTCTAAAATGTTTTTAAAATGACACAAAACGAAGGTTATTTATAGAAATATTTCTTATATGGCTCAGCAATTTAGTTTTAGTACGCACAGCGGGTGGTATTTCTTCATACATTGTATGACACATAAAGTAATCCAAAAGCATTCTACTAACCCTCTAGGGGACATTACTAGGCTCTTTTACGACAGTGCCCTGTTACCTTCTTATCATCTTAAAAAATAGGTAAAGTGACAAATGTAATAACAACATATAGTTATATGACTTTCTAAAAATATATAACATTTATTTTTAGAGAATTTACTTAAGCATATTCTTCAATTATACGTCACGAATAATATATTTTATATATGTAATTCCTTATAATATGCATCAAATCTTAGAAGTATTTAAATTAATAATTAAATATTCAAATAGGAAAAGCACCAAGGATTAAATAAGCTATTTGTAACAAAACAGTAATTTTTAAATTAATTTATACAACTATCGATATTTAAAATATATTATAAAATCGATATATATCACAAATCACATGCAATGCTTTACATAAAATTCGCATACAAAATGAAACGAGACATTAGTACAAGACGATAATACAAAAATAATACCTGATGTCGTATACTGTCACGCGTCGTGCTCGACATATTGTTTGTGTACCAGATGAATCCACGAACTTCGGTAACCAACTACAGCACACAACTGAATCGAGTCGAATGATAATCTCTCACAGTCAAGAATGCGGGCCGCCATTCGCACCACCTACATACCACAAGCATCATCGTGACGTCGTCGATAAAAATAACTCGTACAGAGCACGCTGAATACTCATGCGTTAATATAGCCAATATTGCAAAGCGGCGATGTATGATGATGTATGATTATTTATCGCTGTGCGAACGATACTGTGCGCCTGATTATCGCACTCAATGACGCATCGAGAATCGAGAGTGGGGAGGACTTGTTTGACACAAGTAAACGATTGACGTTCAATATGAAGAAAGTCAATTGAAATCAACTTTAAAATAACTTAAATACGAACTTATTGCGGACGTAGAATCATGCTAAAATGTGTCTTATGAATGTTTAGTAATGTCGCTTAAAATGACCTTTGTTTCGCATTTGCTTCACACTTTAGTATCGTTAATTATATTCTTTGTTTTGTTTCACAAATAAATAGTGCAACATTAAACAGTAAATCTTCATAAAACATACTAGCAATTGTCCGAGAATTGGTTGGGGCAGATTAAAAAACACCTTTTATTAAATAGAGCTTATATTACCCGAGAATAATGTAGCTACCCGCAAGTGAAATAATTTTTCAAATCGGCCCAGTACTTCCGGAGACTATGTAGTGCAAACAAACAAATCTTTCTTTATAATATTAAGTTAAGTATAGGCAACAAGTTTTTAAAATTAATTTAAAGTTGGTATTTAATTATTTTTATCTCCATCCCTATAAATTATTTACACAACATCATAAACCCAACAGTAATGTAATTTTTAATTTTCAACTCTTGAATTCAAGAAGTTCTTTGCACTTTCTACATCAAACTTTTTGTATTTATTTGCTTGGATTGAGTGCATATATCTAAACAAGATAAATATTTTCCTGAAACGTTCAACATGTTTCGTACTTCACATACATTATTTAAAGTTGTACAAACATAAAGTCAATGACCCTTAATATAAAAGCGTAAATTCACTGTTTCAAAGTAAATTGATTGCTTACAAGAAAATTAAATGTATTCATATATTTATTTATTAACTAGCTGTCGCCCGCGACTATTTCCGTGCTGAATTAAAAAATAACTTAATTAGTTCCCGGTGTTTATTCGAACTTTTCTCACCTTTAAAACTTTCCCTGGACCTCCACGAACATTTCAAGACCAAGATAAGATAAATCCGTTCAGCAGTTCTCGAGTTTTAGGAAGACTAACGAACAGCAATTGATTTATATATATATATATATAATAGATAGATATCAAAATGCAACAATCACTTGTTAATACAGTTTGTCTTTTCTCATAAAATAAAGAGTAGACATAATGTAACAGTAATTAAATCGTAAAGAAGCAAAAAACAATTCTATGTCGCCAGAACATGAGAGAATTTCTCCGCCCTTAAAAAATTATCTCTTTTAATTACGCTCCATCAATTAAATTTGACTACGAAGACTATGAACTTATTCACATCTTACTTACCTTTGTTCAATTGTTTCTTTGCAACTTCTTTATATAACTTTTATCGTTATGACTGTCATTATCTTTGAAAAAAAAAACCAGAGATGATATTATATTTTAAATGGGGGTTTTGTCTTAGAAAATTATCATCAGTCATATTGGTTTGCAACGGATTCGATCGCAGGAATTGTTCCAATTAGTTATTTGGTTATACTTCTAAAAAGCTAATAACAATGTAAAAGCCGCAAGCAATTAGTTGTTTCTTTACGCGCTTGTTTCAATGGAAAAAAGTGGTTTCGCTTATTATTTATCTCTTGGTATTCTTTATAAAAAATAACATACTTATTGGAAACGTATAATCTACATAAAATTGTTACTTGGAAAAATATGAAAGCTACGACTAGATATGAAAAACAAATTTTAAAGGAGTAGTTAGTTATCGTGTAATGATTTTTTTAATGATAAAAGCAGCTGATAAAAAATTAAAAAATAAATCCGAATTTCATTGGAGATAGTAATACAATGACCGTTCCTCTGCACGTTCCAGGCACACTTTTCTTGTTTCATTTTCAGTCGTATATCATACAGAATCTAAGTTTTATTGTTTTGGTAATTTCTTATATACCAATTTGAAAGTATTTTTCATGAGTTCTTTTTATTATAATTTTAATAAAGTTGTTATTACAATTTACAATTCCTGTTCAGAATGTTAATTAATTTAGATTGATTCAGACCCTCTTGGGTCTGAATCAATCTATATATATATATATACAACTACATCTATATATACATTCTTATGTACAGTCAGCTGTAAACATTTTAGAAACTTTTTTGGCGGAAGCATAGGGACCAATTAGTTCATACATATTTTTACAGCCATACAAGTTTCTGAAGCTTTGTAAATGCATACTTATTTATTCAGCTGACTCTACATAGATAAAGCGTTTTTAACATCCGCTAGTGTTTCATTACCGTAGAATTTCCCTCAGGACAGACATCGATGTGCGATACGCTTCTTAACACAACTGAGAGAATTTTTCATTTTTAATAAACATGTCGAATAAATATTACGTTAGGCCAAGGGAATTGACGTAATATTGTTAGACAACAACATCGTTACGTCTTAACATTTACTTCCGTTGTGTGACAGTTTTTAAGTTCATAATAATATGCCTAGAAGAATACTATACTCAATAAATAACTAGGTCTATTCGTAACCGAGTCATTTTATACTCGTAAATAAAAATGGTTAAATGAATTAATATGGACGGATACTGTTAAGATTAGAAAGGTCATGTGTGCGCACGTACACTGATGTACTTATTGCCATCGACACATAATTAGGTTTTGTATGTTACTAACAGGTTCCTCATATATTACTTCTGGATCAGAAAAGTTCGTCGCGCTTTATAAATTAATTCTGTTTCTTTTGTTACCTCGATACTAATGTGAGTTTTTAGAAACAAGATTCATTCGGTCAGCGTCTTTTGAAATACACTAATAGTCCAATTACACACATGTGCTATTCGAGACAAATAGGCGCTTTTGTGATGTACGACAAAATAGATTTTAAAGTTTCCACTGCCCCTATTAAATACGGTATATGTATTATAACTTTTGTTGGCAACTAAAGCAACTAATATATAAGTAAGGTACAATTTGAATTATTCAAAATGGTGCAAACTTTTACCGTATAATGTTTAAACAGGTCGCAACTGAAGTTTTATGTTGTTTCTAAATCCATTCGTTGGAAAACTATGAATAAATACAATAACATAGAACAAAACACGCAAAAGCACGAACAAATTGTTATTCTGTTGAAGATAACCGACATGAATACATATTTGAATTCTGAAGATCACAATATCGGAAATCATAATCTGCTATTTATGTTAAGAAGGCGATCGAATAGTATCGTATTTCGTCTCATAAGCTATTAAAAATAATTTTAAGATCGATCTCAAGGGTAACAATGATTTCGTTCGTAAATGGATAATTCACTCCACTTTCTTCTCGTACATATATTTTTTGCTATCTAAAATTCTAATCTAATTGCCAATAAATTTTAAGAACGGAATATTACTTCAACACTGGGCGTAAAATACTAAAGAACTGGAAGAAAATCACAAAATAGTCACATTAAAGATCGAGTACGAAGAAATTAAAAAATCAGAATCGTACATCAACAACATTTTAGTACCCACTAGAAACTTGTTAAGTCTTTTGCATATATTTATTAACAAGCGTCTAGACTTACAAAAACATCTTCACCTGTGCTAGTTGATTCGTGTTTAGTCCACCATATCTAGAACTTTCCAAGAATACAGCAAATATTATGTACCTCAAGTCACGTAGACAGTGGAAAAATGTAGTGCTATAAAATTAGAAATTATACATACTTTTTATGCAATGAATTTTTAAATTCAATTCAAATATTTGATAATTTTTATCAGGACCATAATAAAATAATTTGACATGTGGGAAGATCGTGTGTTTATTTGTTATATACCAAAATATTTCTTTGATTAAAAAAGTCTTTTGAGTACAGACTAGTTTCGTCTTTCGTTTTAAAATTGAATTATTTTTTAATTTAAACATTTTCTTTAAATCTACTGTCTGCTCCGGGGTAGCGTTATTTCTATTTTCTTTAGAACATAAAGTGAACTTTAAATTGCAAAGAAAATGAAAATACCTTTGTCAGGAAATTCTACTAAACAGGAGGTAATTGGCTTTCATAACAACATTTATATAAAGGAAAACCGTACTTAAGTACATTCGCTTCAAGTATTCCGGGAGATTGGGTGTACTTTGATAGTTTACTAATTAGTTCAACCACAAGACATTTACAGAGCTTCAATCAAAATACGTCTGCACCTTAGTTTATTAGTAAGTCTGTGGTTTTATATATGTAGCAACTAATTTCGTCTATAACAAGCTGCTCATATCATCCCGGGAAAGATTTTAGATTGAATTTCACTTTGTGTATTTGAATCGAATCGCCTACTGGTCGAAAGTCTATAGTAATTTATAGTTAATTCTTGGCTTTTTTTTATATGACTTCTTCTCCACATTAACTTAATTTGTGTCTAAAACGAAACACCGGGGATTTGCTAATATTGAATCCATTCTATTTCCTTAAACATAATATATTCTTGTATTGTGCATGTTCAAATATAAGTTTCTTATTTGAATTTATAAAAGCAATACGAATAGAGACAATCTTTGTAGGACAAAATTATGGATGAATGCTTCTATCTCTGAAATGTATATTCTTGCTGTCTGTACAATATAAGAGAAGCAGTTTGTTATTAAATTCGCAAAATTCACGAATTAATTATCATATATGATTGTTTTTAACGACACGCTTAGACATTAAGTAAATTGATTTCTTCTATGTTTTTAACCAGAGAGAGGTTTAAACGTATATAATTAAAAATATTATATAATTTACAAGTTCAACTCTTCTAATATCTTGCTGATTGAAGCAATTAGTGTTGATTATCGTTTTACAGTCAATTGCCACCTGTCGCCAAGTTAGTTAACTGTT